AGTATTGACAGTGTCTCTTTAATATCATAAAAAGCCCCATTATGAACATTCTCTTGTTAAATCTTTACATCCATTCCTGAGTTACCGTCCAATCAGAGATATAATAACTGGGACAGAGAGTAGAGATCACAATGTATGTCACTTTTTTAGGGATAGATTACAAAAAAAGTTACTGAATCAGAAGAGATAATCTTATGTCTTTATCTTAAACAAACTTTACAATCCTTATTACCTGCTAGACCCCCCTCTGTTAGTCTTCATGTCTCATTTCTCCCACCTGGCCACTGCTGATCACATGGTCTTTACCCTGGAAGGAATACTATGTAGTAGCAAAGGGTCACCAGAGCAGAGGAGCTAAGACCCAGGTCTGGAACCATGGGAGGACACTGGGGGTGCAATGCAGGAGCTGCTCCAGCCTAGAACTGAGGTACAATTGTGGATCAGATACAGCTCTGTCTGTGGTTATTCGGAGATACAGAAGGGGATTCTAGCAAATGGAAGGAGCCAACCATGTGGAATCCAGAATGAGTACTTCTGCAAGAAGTTCTTACACATAAGATCTGTCCATAAGGTTAGCTGAGGTTAGAGTTCAGAGGCAGGTATCTGGTCTGCAAGATCAGGAAGTAGCAAGAGATAGACAAGGAAGCAGGGAAACAGGTCTGGCCTGAGACCATACTTAAAGAATGTGAACAAGTTCCAACTTGGGACTCAAAAAAATGCATGAATGAACTGAAGCACAAATCCCATCTTGGGGAAGGTGTGTCTGCAAAATTGGGCTAGGTGAGGCTGCAGTAACAAAGAGCTCCTAAATCAAAACAGTTTACAACCAGATTTTATTCTTGTTCATGCTACATGTCCATCTATATTATCCTCAGTCTGGATTCCCAGGTTAATGATCTGTATAATCCACAGTTGTGGCAGAGGAGAAAGAACTAGATAGTCCAGCGTCAGTGATTAAATGCCTCACTCACCTTTCCTTGGCCAGAGCAAGTCATGTGGCCTTGCCTAACTTTCAGAGGCTATTGGCTGGGAGCAATGTCCAGCTATGGGCTTGTCATCTTGGCGAGTACTGGTAGTGGCTGCTAGATAATGACCAAAGCTAAGTTCTAAAGAGAAGATACTATACAGATTCAGGATATTTAACTATAGTTTACTTGGTGTCCTAACGTATGTTTTCCCTGGAACCTGGGTGTGATTATGAGTTCTGTTTCAAAAGAACTCCAAAAGGACCAGTGGAGATATGGAGATATTTATGAGGCAAAGTGTAGCTAGAGAAGACTTAACAGCTGCTCCTGGAGCTCATCACCAAATAGGACAGATTCTAGTATATTCTAGCTATCAGAGTTGCTACCTTTTACATAGTTGGTAGCAAACTGACACTGCCTAAGTAGGGCTGTCATGATTTAACTCTCCTGAAAGGGGGTGAGTGGGGTGCAAGGAATAGTAGAAGCATCTGCATGCATCTCCATATGCAGACTAAATGTCAACATTTAGTCTAAATGATATTATGAACCTTATCTCTCTCAGATATATTTGGGGACATTTGTTTAAGGCAAGTGAAAAGATCACTAGGTATCTCATTCTAGTGGTGATGATAAAATGATGAAATTATAGTTTCTGAGGGGGCTTCCTAGGCTCTTTACAACCACTGATGATTTCTAAAATACTTGCTGTGCCCTTGAGACTGTGCAAGGTGCAGCTCCTGACCTTCAGCATTTTTACCAGCAAATAGCAGGAGAAAGTAGACATTTGTTTGATATTCACTTCAGAGTTCAAAATTTTGGAGGACCTCATAAAGCTACAAAAAATGCTAATTTCACATTCAAATGAATAAGAAAGAAGCTTGTGGTTTTTCTCTTCATAATAATCTTTCCTAAAGTAAAAGATTTCTAACTTAAATGTAATTCATCCAATCTAAGACACAGGGAAGGAAATAATAAAATAAATTCTGTGGAAATCATTTATTTTACTACAGCACCATGCAAATGTCATGTCTATGCAAACAGAAAGTGTGAGTTATAAACATTCTCAACAAGGGATACATTTTTGCTAATTAATAGTATACATCCCACAAGTCAAGCTTCCTCATTGATTTGCAAAAGGTTAGGGTTATTAAAACAGGCTTCACAGTCAATACCATGCTTATTCTTATATGGATTCTCGTGAAGTGCATGACCTGAGTAAGGAAGGGTGTGATTTAATTTCTTTCTGCATGGAATCATTTAAATAGCTGTGTGCCAAGTGTTGGCACATTTTTTCAAAAATATTTATTTATGCATACAAGTCCTGGGTGTAGGCCAGAGGTGGGGCGGGGGGTGGGGGGCGGTGAGAGGATTCACCAGAGACAGAATGGGAAGCAGAACAGGCAGATCTACTGAAATATACTGCTGAGGGTAGCAGCAGGGGAGACAGGCGATAGCTTGACAGAGCTGAGACTTTAACCCCTATGCCAACAGGGAGACCCAAGTGCTAGTACATTTTTGCAGTATATGACAATGAAGATCCCTGGAACATTATTCAGATTCCTTGCAATGTTCTGTTCCCTTTGCAAATGTAAAAAATGTTTTACCACAAGTAACATCAGAAATTCTCTCCTTTCAAAGGAGGATGTACAATAAATAAGATAAATATAAATTATAAAAATCATTAAATGAAATATAGGACTTTTTTTAAAATTTTTCAAAATGTAAAATGTTAATGTATTTGTAGGAGAACTTTTATGATTTATTTCTTACAAGTCTTGGAAATAAGAAGAAAGCCTCTCAGAGGCAGTATTCTGTTGGTTGGTGAACAATTTCATCAAAAGTGAGGAGGTTTATAATTTTTTTTTAATAGAGGCATGTTATTTATTTATTTGTTTGTTTGTTTATACAAGCACTGGGTACAGTCAGAAGAATGGGAGGGTGGGAGAATTCACCAGAGCCAGAGCGGGGAGCAGAGCAGGCAGAAGGACCGAAGTACACTGCTGAGGGGAACAGCAGGCGGCAGAAGAGGTCTGCGCGCCATGTGGGACCCTCCTCCAGTGGCCGGGAGCAGCCGGGGATCGAACCGGCGCTGCAGAGGCTGCGAGCAGCTTCGCAACCCAGCGCTCAATCGCTGAGCCACCAGGGAAGCCCAGGAGGTTTATAATTTGTAATTGACTTTGGTGATTTAATCAATCTTTATGTGACATACACTATTCATAGCAGAAATAAATTCATCACTTGCAGAGATTCAAGCAGGGATTCTAAGTGATGATACACTCATTCCATAAATGTTGCAAAATCAAAAACAGTAAAATCTTATCCTACATATCCTTATGTCTTTTTGCCAAGTTCATTGAGAATGTAGCTATAGTTAGGACTCTCAGCAAATTAAACAAACAAAAACCAACATTCACACAGCAGGGCACTTTAATGGCTCAGTGGCTTGGAGAAAAAAAATACAGCCTTAACCATTGGAAATAGGGGTTTATCCTAACAAAGAAATTCAAACATGGATATTTTGGACAGACTAATGCAATAAGACTTCTCTTAAAATATATTATTTAAAGGAGATGGTTCTTATTTCTCATATTCTATGCTTAACTTTAAGTTTCTTACATTTCTGGTGGTTTTAGAAAGCGACTGTTCTAAATTGTGATCTTTAGATTGCTGAATATAACCCTTCCTCCCACTTGCTCATCTTACAAACTATATTGATGCATTGTATTTAGTGGAGATTAATTTTCTTTTTAAATTAATTCTCAAGCATTGGTGATGCATGATGAAGTTGGCATGTTCTGATTTTGTAAACTGGCATTACTTTTCTGGAGAGCACTTTGGTCACTATAAAAAAATATGTATATTCATCCTTTGACCTAGTAGTGATAATTCTAGAAATCTATCTGATAGATGCAGTCAAAGGTGAACAAATATTTCTTTCTGAAGGTTTTTTGTCACAGTTCAAACAGATAACATAAAACATGGTAACAATCCAAGAATCAGTGTTAAGGAATTTGCTAAATGCATAATGCTATATATCCACATAATAGACTATCAAGTATTCATATGAGGACTATGAAGAGACACTTAAAGATAGCAGAGAATATAATGTCAAAAGTACTGTTAAATATAAAAGAGGGTCATGAAACAGTGTGTGCAGAACGGTCTTAATTATGTCTTAAAAAATTTACATATATAGGGCCTCCCCTGGTGGCACAGCAGTTGAGCGCTGGGCTGTGAGGCTGCCCGCAGCCTCTGCAGCACCCGTTCGTTCCCCAGCCGCCAGCGAGGGACCCACAAAAAAAAATTACATATATAATAGAAGGGGTGTGTGTGTGTGCGCATGTGTGTGTGCACGTGTGTGCACTTGCACATGTGTGTGTTTGGAAAGTTGCAAACCAAAAATAGCAAATGCTATTACTGGGAAGTGGGATTGGAGGAGATTTTTATTTTATACTTTCTGCTCTTCTATATACTTAAAGTTTCAAAATGAATTTAACTTTTGAAATTAAAAAAACAATGACTATTAAAACATGCATTTGTTGCATGCACAATATGAATATAGTTGGTGTCTTGGAATTTAACCTTAAAAGGGGTTAAAATATTAAATGTTATGTTATGTATATTTATGACAGTAAAAAGATATTTAGATATTTATTAGAAAATCTAGGTTTCCTTGGATTTAGTGATGACTTTTACATATACAACAACAAAAGTATAATTCATGAAAGAAAAAGTTCAATTTCATTAAACTTAAAAAACTTCTGCTCTGAGAAAGACACAGTTATAAGGACAAAAAGATAAACCACATATTGGGAGAAAAACTTTACAAAATACATACCTGGTGAACTGATATCTGAAATAAACAACTTTTAAAAACTTAGCAAAAAGAAAACATGCAAAAACCAACTTACAAATAGGCAAGAAATTTGAATAGACACCTCACCAAAGAAGAGCTGTAGTTGACAAGCACATGAAAAGATGTTCCAAATTATGTCATTAGAGAAATACAAATAAACAGGAGGCATCACTACTCACCATTGAGAATGGCAAAATCTGGAACCCTGCCAACACCAAGTGCTGACAAGGATTTGAAGCAACAGGAGTCCTCATTCATTCCTGGTGGGGATGAAAATGGCACAACCACTTTGGAAGAGAGTTTGGCAGTTTCTAACAAAAATAAACATGCCCTTACCACATGATCCAGCAATTGTGCTCTTTGGTATTTACCCCCAAAAGTTGAAAACTTATGTCTACATAAAAACCTGCACAGAGTATTTTATTCATAATTGCCAAAACTTGAAGCACCAATAAGTCCTTCAGTAGGGAATGGGTGAACGGACCATGGTAACTCCAAACAATGGAAAGAAATGAACTGTCAAGGAACAAAAAGACATAGAGGAAAGTTAAATGCATATTGTTATGTGAAAGAAGTCAATCTGCAAAAATGGCATTCTGTAAGATTTCAATCTAGTACATTCTGGAAAAAGGAAAACTATGATGACAGTAAAAAGGTCAGCGATTACCTGGAGTACTAGGAAGAGAATGAGAGAGGGATAAATATGTAGAGCACAGGGGATTTTTAGGGCAGCAATATTATTCTGTACGATATACTAATAATAAATGAATGTCATTATACACCTTTTTCAAGCCCATAGAATGTAATAACACAAAGAATGAATCCTGACATAAACTATGGATTTTAAGTTAATAAGGTACACATATTTACACATTTACAATATTTTACATGTAAAATCCCAAAATATTACATTAAAATATTATTTATCTTACTTTATATGTGTGTGTGTATTTACTTGTTACCCAAAATAAAGGTTACTGTTTCCAGTCACAATTTTACTTTTAATTTACTCATTTCATAATTACCTCTTGGTTACTTAAAGCTGCATGAAAACTTACAGTGTCTGAGAGTAACCTCTAGAAATTTTCAAGCAGCTGATTTTCATATTATATAACAGTGATTTGATCACTGATTCAGTAAAAGTCCTAAGTCCCATCATTTCAAAATTTTGGTTAAATAATTTCACAATCTTGAATAAATAATACATATGCAGCTTGAGCATCTAACTTCTCAATATTCTAATAAGTGTTTTAATAGAAACCAGGGGCAAACACTCAAATGAAAAATCCCTAAGAGCCCTAGCCCAGGTGATGATAATACATAATTAGGAAAAGAGGAAAATAAAGTGACAGTGGTATTCATTTAACGTTAATTTATTTTTTATTCTCTGTGAAGTCACACACAGATAGAGTTTTCAAAACATAGATCAGTCAACTTGCTAGCATATTAGAGCTCCAGAGTTGGATGGGGACTGAGAAGGACTCTTCTATCCAATGATAGAGGCAAATAGTATGAATAGCCATGTTGAGAATGATGTGGCTAATTCAATCCTGATTCAGATTTGCTCATGTCAACTGATCTGCTCAGATGGGTAAAATATAATTGAAGAGGCCTCCTGGCAGTATCCTGAGCACATAGCCTCACAAGGTCTCTGTGTTTCAATAGAATATTAGTCATTTCTGGAAATATAAGAGTCAGAGCTAACTTTTGAGACAAGAAAGCTGGACAGAGGCGGCCACTTTGAGAGGATCCAAGGCAAATGGCATAGAATTTAGCTTAAGACCCAGTCCTCTCAGATAAACTAGACTGGAATCAGGTAACCAAAGCCAGTCTTTTTCCCAGAGCAAACACACTAGCTTAAGATTCCCTTGTTGATATGGGAGGAATTCTTGGTAATTCACTGTTCATGGTCCAGAATGACTTAAGAAATATATACATGGGCCTTGGCTGTCCGGGCCTTGATAAATTCAAGAAGCAGGGGAATGACACTGATGTTTACTTTCATTCATCTCTCTTTGTCTAATATTAACATACTTATTTAGTCTGAATATTAAAACATAGTAGTTAGACTTGCATACTGTCATGAAAACAACTATTCCCATTAGATATCAGTCCTCAGGATTCAGCCTTGCCTGGAGCTATGCATTCTGAACTGTCAGTAACTTTCTCATGCAAGTTGGCAAGTCATCCAACCTGCTGTTTGATGTTGCAATCAGGTAGCTGATGTTATACATCAGTAGATACTCAAATCTCTACCCTACAGGTAGTGCTGACATTGGCATGAGACAGCTTGTTAAATCTGGCACTCAATATTACACACTTGGCCTGCTGAACAAGTATACGAAGAGAAGATGTGTCTTATCTTAAAATTATAGCGTAGTAGAGCTGTAAGAGATGCTAAACATCTAGCCTTGCAATCTGATTATATTGTACACATATTCCCCAAAATACTATGAAGTCTTATTGGAGAAGAACAATGTCTTTCCACCTAATTGGCGCAACCTGCTTCCTTATGGCTGGCATGCAAAATAATTTAGATTATTTACATGACAACCCCTCTGAGAAGAAATTTCTCCTGTCTATTGCTAACATTTCTTTGTTCTCTGAAGTTGTTTTGTTTTGTTGTTCTCCCTCATGTTAAGGTCAAGACTCCCAGGCATGTGATGCTTACTATGTCTAAGGTGTCCATCTTGCATACTATTACCTCAAAAAGTATGGAAAACTAACCAGGTCCCTGATGGGTCTTTTCATTGCCCCCAGTGTGGAAACAAGAAAGGTTTAATCATACTTGGCTGCCTGGACCTACACAGGTACTGGGATGCAATGGATGGGCCAAAACTCCTAATGTTAGGGCCCCCTTCACAAGACATTCAGAGGTGTTCCAGAAGTAGCCCTATGTGTGCACAGAATTCACTTTCACAAAATCTTCTATATCTATCCTTATGATGAATTTTTTTTAATATCAAGAGACCTTTTGTTTCTCCTTGCACCTAGCTTTGGTTAGGACCACCCTGGTTCATCCCAATAATGCCACACTAATTTTGTTTTTTTATTTATTTATTTATTTATTTATTTATTTATTTTTAATTAATAAATTTTATTTTTATATTCCCCATACAATTGCAATCCCCCCATTCTGACCCCAATCCCTCCCCTCCCGCCCCCACCCCCAAAAAGTGTCTCTGGTTCATAGTTTTTGTTGATTTTGATTTTCACTTTCTTATATAGTTATTCATTTTCCTGGTCCCTTATTTAAGTTTTCTAGATCCCTGCTATGAGTGAGACCATCCGGTATTTTTCTTTTTCTTTTTGGCTTATTTCACTGAGCATGATCCCTTCCAGCGTCATCCATGTTGCTGCAAATTGCATGTGTTTATCTTTTTTGAATGCTGAGTAATATTCCATGGTATATATGCCACACTAATTTTGAACATCCAAGAGAAGAAACCTGTCTCCCATTCCCCCTTTTCCCAGAAGGGTCTTTGACCTTAGGAAAAATCTGTGCACCACCTCTTGCAGCATTATTTGCTTTGTTATAGGGGGTGGGGAGTACCCTCCCATCCCAAGGATTTGGCAATTTGGCCATATGACTTGTCTTGGCCAATGGAATAAGCATAAAGGCAACAGTTTCAGCTCTAAGCTGAGATTTGATGATTTATGCCAGCTCTTTTATACCTCTGCCATTCAGCCACAGAAAGAATGCTTCCTACATACCTATTACTCCTCTAGGCTAGGTTTTGGAATAAAAAGCCAGTCAACTAGACCTGAAATTGAGCTGTGGTCCATAGCAAAACCCAGTTGAATCCAATTAGGATCAACAACTTCAGTAGGTGCTAACTATGCTGCAGATCAATGTACAAGAAATGTTTGTTGGTATGCCACCGAAATTTGGGGGTTGTTTTTGTTTAGCATTAATGCAGTAACAGTTGACTAATACACTTCATATACCACTGAGTATAGAGAAGTAAGCAAGGCACCTCATAGTGTTTGGTGTGCAGGATGCTTATTAGAGAGTCCCCTTTCGATCACTACGTGGGGCCAGGAGGGAAGGAAGCAAGATTGGGGAAAGGGAGTTGTTGAACTGAAATGCCAGCCTAAAAAGAGTCTCCACTGACTCCATGGGAGCTCTGAAGACAAAGTTCCCTGTTAATGCCCACATTGGGCCAAATTACCAGGTCTTTATTCTACTGTCACGATCAGTCTTTGGGTGAGGTCAACTCAAGAAAGGGTATAACCTTGGGAAGATGATTTTTTTGAAGTTGATGCAGTCCCTAAAAGGATTGACAGCACAACCATACAACAATAGCACACCCAACAGCTGGACAACAAGATTTTTCTTGAAAGAATCCTTATCTCCCACCAGGCCTCCCTTTACCTTTTGAGATACCATTTGAGGCTTCATCTGCAGCAACATTTCTGGATTATTCCTTCGCTGTGGGCACTGAATAGCACAAATGTCTATATGACAAAAAAAGATTCTGGTGACTTTCCTTAAGCAAGCTCAAAGCTAGTGAATTTTTTTCTGTTTTTACAACTTCCTCTTAGGAAGAAAATCATCCTGGGGGAAATTCTTTGATAATCTGACTGGGGGTAAAGGGTGAAACTCTGAGGGCTGGGGCCAAGGCCCAGATAAAATGACTTAACTGCAGACTGTGAAGAAAGGATCAAGCTTTGTTGAGAGAGGAACCAGCCAGGTGGCACAAAGTGAGCACTTCCTGAGATGAAAGAACATTGAGATGGGCTGGCGACTGACTTTTGATGTTCACAGAATCCCATCGATGGTGAATTGAGGTCCCATTAGGTGAAGTAAACTATTAACAACCTTTTAAAAAATGATATTTCAACATATCCCAAATAGAAAAGTACAGAGAACAGTATTAAATGTACACATCTGTGCACAACTCAGAATTAACAACTATCAACATCTAGACACAGTTTTTTCTGATCTTTTACTTTTTTTTAATAAATGAGGTTTTTTTTCGTGCTTTTTAAAATTTTTTTATTTTAACATTTATCATTTTTTTACATTTTTTAGACAATATTTGCTTCCCCCCACCACCTCAGATTGAGTTCCCATAGAATTTCCTTCCCCAAGGCACCTGTGCACCATAACCACAGTTGTATTCCTGCCTGAGCCCATTTTCTTCCCTTCCCTTCCCTTCCCTTACTAATAGTAGTGACTATTAATGTGAATTTGGCATAGTCTCCCCATCTGTATTTTATACTTTTGGTACAGATATATGATTTCAGTTTTTTGTGT